GCTTTGCGCGAAATTCAAAAACAATTTTAAATTATGAGGTATGCGTTTGACGCTCAACAATAAATACGAGGATATCAGGTTTTTTAATCAAAAGTTTTAATTAAATTGGGCTATAGAAGAAAGTACTTTAGGTCCTACAAACAGTGTATACATTTGAAAACCCTGTACAAATATGAATGAAGCAATACCATTCCCTGTTTTTTTTCACTCACCTGGTGGGTCAGTGTTAAGTTTATGGACTTACAACACTAAAATCTGAGATTTGATTGCCCCAGTGTACAGAGAGCAGATAACTCATTGTATAGCTTTGCTCTAAGAAAACGGAATTTTTCTTCTATTATATTTAGACTGTTTAGACCAATAAAAAAATTCTGAAAAAAAACATTAACTTTGAACTGTATATTGAAATACCAAATAGATTCAATGATATAGGTAGTTTCATTTTAGAAATATAAAAAATCGGCAAAGTGGTTAAAGTGTTAATTGATAAGTGTAAGTATAGTGCTAAATTGTGCCGCTGCGTATGATGCAACGCCGTTTTAAGAAACTACTAATTACCAACTTTTTTTTTTTTTTTAGTTTTTTTCAATTTTTCAAACCTTAATTTGTTTGTTTTTCTATTTATGCCAAAACTACTAATGCTGTCTGTCGCTTTCCCTAATTCTTAACTTCCATCTACCGGGACGGCAATCAGCTAGCAGCACACACTGCCAGTTTTTGAGTTATGCTTTAGAAACGAATAATAGAATTGACTGTCACATTATAACGTCTCCACAGTTGAAACTGCGAGTATGTTCGACGCCGGATTTCAATCCCGTGACACAAAGGTTGTAAATCGATCGCCCTAACCACCAGGCTATGGCAAGTGTTTATTAATATAATATATATAGTGTATATATATCTGTGTTTACATGATTTTGGAACTTCTTTCACGGTTTTTTTTTTTAAATCTTAAAATGGTGCATGCTGTAGGCTCGTAATAGAATATAAAAGAAAATAATTTTTTTTAAAATTCGCGAGTAGGGTTGAAAAATAGGGGATAAAGGAGTTTTTAGGACTCTTAGACTTCATTGGTGAATAACTTTAATAATACTATCGGCAAAATAATAGATGTAGAATACATCTTACCCTATTTTAACAACTGGCTGAGATATACATTTGCATTATAACTTTGCTTATTAAACAGCTTTGTTATTTTTGGGGAACAATTCAAGAATACGAAGGCAAAAAGAATACTTTTTCAGTATCAATATTATTTTTTTCTAGTATAATTTTAAAAAAGACTTCTTATGCACTTGGATAATGTGCTATTTTTATTATATTTTTTTATTAATTAGCACTTTGCTAATAATATATTTGTTCTTTTTTTAGAAAAAATAATCATTTATCAACATTTCCTTTTTATAAGTTCGTGTATTTGCATTCTTGAGGTCCAAACACATGAAAAATACACCATTATGAATTAATCGGCTTTTTTGACTACTAGATGGCGACACTATCGAAAAGTACTTTTATTGTCAACGACGTAGACATAGATAACTAAATTACTTTAATGTAACCGCCGGAACTATTCCCGTAAAATCTAGCACACATTGTTTTCATTCGTGTGTACTTTTAACGACATGTCTTCAACTGGTTTTATTGTTGAAACTTTACCCATAAACCAACGTCATTTCAAAGTTTATTTTACTGAACTCTATGATCATAAAATTTTATTGATGTTTTTCTTGATGCGTTTGGTTAATTTGTTCTTTCAATTTTTAGTGAGTATTTTAAACAAAGACGTATACTGTGAGGGATCTCAATGATTTATTATTTGTATAAGTAATGAGAAAAAACAACAGTTTGTTTATCTTGTCTTCTCTGATATTTTTTACTGTTGTTCAAACTGACAGTTTTGCGTTACGTATGAACTATTTCTAACTTTATAGGAGCTTCCCAACAACTGTTGTAGTTGCTTTAGTTACTTGGTACAGTACCTTTAGTTAGTTTCTAGTTAGATACCCTTAGTTACTAGGAGCGGCTTTACCCATTGTTACTAGATGCAGCATCCTTAGTTACGACTCTTTGGTTATGCGGAGTGGTTTTATACTTAGTGACTAGGTGCAACATCCTTAGTTACGGCTCTATAGTTACAAGGAGTGGTTCTATCCTTAATTGTCAGTTGCACCATCCTTAATTGACAGTTCTTTAGTTACTAGGAGCAGCCCTACGATTAACTACCAGGTGCAGCATCCTACGCTACGATTCTTTAGTTACAAATATTGTATTATTGGTTGTGATTCCAATATAGTAAGGGAAATTATTTTCAAACCTAACTCGTTGGAAATGTTCAATTACACTGATTTATTTAGATAACACCCACAATAAATCATTGCTTTGAAATTCATAGGAGAAATTTTAAGTACAGTAATTATTATGCAATGTTTTATGCATAATACCACGAAAAATAAATATCAAACGGAGCATTTAGTGAAGCGATTAGACACAGACATTTTTAAAACTATTAAACTGAACATTTTTCAGGCCAATAAGATTTTATTTCCATTTAAAAACAACATAAATCTTATGAATTTCTTGAAAAACTGCATCATTCTAATGAACAGCAAAGAGGAATGGGATTTCTAGTGGTAGCAACGACTCCAATTATAAACTTATGAAAAGTGGATTTCATTGTACTACTTACCCATGCTTGTTGAAGTCACCAGAGATTTTTTTTCTTCTTCGGCTAGTGGACGTTTGAGTTTGGATATTAATTTCTCTTTAGGTTTAGGTTTCAGTATCTCCTCGATGGAATACGTTATCACTCCAGCCTTATTATCCAGCTTCCTACCAGAGGGCTCTGAAATTCGCTTGGCAGAATCTGTTTGTGAAGTACTACTTTCTGCAACGGAAGTACTTACGCCTGGTGAGCTAAGTGCAATCGTCCTTCTGGAACTGGAAGACATTTCAGCTGGATAGTGATTAACAGAAGATCGGGGATAGTAAGTTGGAGGAGCGATTGTGAGTTGGTTATCAGTCATGTTGTCTAAGAAAGTGGAAAAAGGAAGAAATGTTATCGATATTTTGCCGTTAAAATAGAAAAGATTAAATAATTTTGACAACTTCATTGATTTCATGGAAGTTGGCTCTCCTGGTGAGACAGGAGTAAGTATGGGGTTCGATAGCCCAATGTAGCTTTGCTCTGAGACAAACAAAAAATAGTTCATGAAATTGGACTGAGCTTTAAAACAAAGAAGTAAAATGTAAGCATTGTTTGTTTGTAGTTAAACACAAAATTACATATTTGGCTGTCTGTGCTTTGCCCACCACTGGTATCGAAACCCAGTTTCTAGCGTTGTGAGTCCGCAAACATACCGCTGTGCCACGTAAAATGTAAGAGTTATAATAACAGCGCAATACGTTTAAAGTATATATTAAAATTCAAACATCGACAAACAGTAAAAAAATTGACAATAGTATGTAAAACATTTGTTTCTGAACTTTTGTAACGTGATTGTATTCTAAATATCTATCATTACTTGTGATGGAGAACATCCGAAAAGTGTATTAAGAAAGTAATCTAAGGAAATGTAAAACATGTGTTTTACCCCCGACTATAACACTTAGGTGACAAACATGGCCGTAGGCGAGTTCCATATTTCTCGGGAAAAGGATAATTTTTTATGGGGCAAACTCGGGGATAAAATGCCATATAAATCTATAAAAAAATGGGCTCCTGAATCATCACCTTTAACTGAAAATGTTTCGCCAGAGGAGTAGCCTTAGAAATACCTGACATGATCATAATGCATCTATAGGCATCTAGAACATACTGCAGAAGGGGCATGTGCCTCCTCCCACTTTTTCCAGTTAATATATATACACTATTATTAACAAGTATGTTAAACTAATTTAACACTTTCCCACAAAGCTAGGCCCCGATGATGCGTACACAACATTACTTAAAACTAAGAGACGCTCTAAGACAAAGTTTCCAATGTATCCATTGTAGTGGATGTGTTGTATAGGACAACCTTGCGGGAGGTAGCATAATTTCGAAATTGTCTCTTGTTCTTTAATTGGAAATACCGTAAATAACAAATAAGTATCAAATTAATCTAATAATTAAAGCGTTCTCGTTATTAGTTGAATGATATTAATTATGACATTTTTAATATCAAAAATATTGTTCATAAATATACTAACAAATCTACTGCTATCTACTGGGTGTAAATATGTAGATATCGGGTGTTTAAAATGCTTAACTCTCGACATAGGGGAATATAAAACCCTACAAATCCAGAGATGGGGAGGGGTTAGGAATAAGTAGCTTCCAATATTGGGGGTCATTTCTAGAAATATGAAAAAAATATGGTTTATTCCCTGTACATATAGAGAGTGAACGGCGTGGTAGTTTGGTTTATTCCCTGTACATATAGAGAGTGAACGGCGTGGTGGTTTGTCATTTGTTGATTATGAAATAAACGATAATTTTGAAAATCAGTAAAACTATTTTAATACTCTGAGTTAAAAACAGATTTTCACACTTTATTGTCATTACAAGCAGTCTTAAACGAGAAGTAAGATAGAAATAATTCAACAATACGTATGGTACGAATACAAGCTGTGCAAACGAACAATTACTATGACCTAAATTTTTATGATTCTCTATACTACACCCCCCCTCTCGCGAGTGGCCCAGCGGTAAGAGAAGAATTACTTATAACGCTAAAAAAATCTGGGTATCGATATTTGGTGGACACAACACAGACAGCTCAGTGTATAACTTTGTGTTTAACTGCAAACAAATAACTGTTTATTGTGTAAAACATAATTGCAAGGAGTAAAACGTAGATAGGTTTGTTCTTCACGCGACAAGTTGTTACATACTTATATCAAAAGTACTATAATCAAATGTTAAACTATAATAATTTAACTAAACTGTGACAAGTTTCAGGATTTTTCTGGCTATTACCTGTTTATATTTTAAGTATTGTTTTTAAGTACATCCACATAGCATCTATTTCTGAGAAAAACAGTTTAGCTTTACAATAAAAACATAAAAGTAGTGCATCATTGTCAGCCTGGATCTTCTGAACATCTTGGAGAGGATTATCCCTCCTGCTCCTAACAGTATCTGAAATATCATCGTTATATTATAAAGATGTTAGTGGTTAAGGAACATTACTGTTTCTAATCTTATCTCTATTATTGCAGTAATGCTTTCCCGTTGGATATACAAGACTGTTTAGTGTAGGTGTTATTATTTAATATACACAGCGTGGTCACAAGTAAATAGACACCACCTTTTCAGGAAAAATGAAAATTTTCAGTCATATTCACATGAATTTATAATTTAATTAATATCTAGTAGATCTTATTTTCGCTTCGTGGAGTTCGTTGATACTTTGGGGCATCGTGAGAATCGTCTCGTCAATTTTAGATTGCGGGATTTTCGCCCACTCTTGCTTCAAAACTTGGAGTAGATCGCTCTTCGAAGTTTGGTTTTTTTTTTTTTTGGTTGTTTCTTGACTTGCCGGTCGAGTATGGCCCAAAGGTTTTCGATGGGGTTCATGTCAGGAGATTGGCTCGGCCAAGCCAACTTCT